CACCCAAGCCCTGCTCCATCAGAATCTCTGAGGGTGTGGCCCCAAACCTGTGCCTGGACAAGCTCGGCAGGTCGTTCTAACACAGTAAAATTTGGGGAGCACTGGTGCAGACTGACCGTCCGGCCTTACTGCTGGGGCCTAGATTATCTTGGTGGCAGAGCGGCTGATCCTGGCACAGAAAGTGGCTGTGGCTAGAAACTCTCCCAGACCCAGCTACTTAGCTGGTGAGCCCTGGGGACAGTGGCTGAGCATGTGAGTACACACTGGCAGTATGTCAGGGTCCAAGAGTGGAACATCCTGTGCGGGTCTGTGCGGCCACCGGATCAGCAAGGGCATCGAGGCAGCCACAGAAAGCCCCGCTGGACAGCGTGCGGGCCCATCGGAGCATGGGCTCACGAGGCAGTGACAGCAGCAGTGACTGCTCAGGCCCCACAGTTATCACTCACCCGCCCCTTCCCACTTCACAGGCCAGAGGACTTTTCTAACAATTAGAGCTGGGGCGATTAGGGCAAGAGCTGGGGAGGAGGGTGGGGCATCAAGAAGGAGACGCTGGGCTTCCTGCTAAATCGGGCAGATGAATGCTCCAAGAATTAACTTAAGTATTAAAAAGATCTGTGACCTGATCTTACCCGAAGCTGATCAACCACATCACACTGGTTATCTTTCGATAAATGTCATATTTTATCCATGCCTCTAAGAGAGAGAGGGGGTTACTGGTACTTGCTACTGAGAGCTCTGACCAGTGGTAACCCGAGGGCGAGGGCTGCAGACAGAGGTGATTAAAGCATGGCATGCAGCTGGGCGTCGTGCCCCTGCGCTGACAGACTGTGGAGTCCAAGCAGCTGAAGGCGCTGCCACGAGGGCCTGCTGCAGGGGGCAGGAAAGAGGGAAGACGCCCTGGGCACAAGGGGCAATGCCGGCTCACCCCGCCACACCTCACACCCACCTACAGCTCCAGGCTGGCTCCCCTCCTGCCTCCGCTGAGGCTGCTCCTGCAGTCCGGAATGCCCTTCTCCACTCTGCCCAGAGACAGACGCTTGTGCCTCTCCCAGACGTGGCTCGGGGATGTTTTCCAGACCTGCCCTCTGGCAGTGTTGCCCTCTCCTCCCACACCCCCACTGGACACTCGCTGAAATTCTGTCAGAGCACAGACACCTTCTCCTGCCAGACTGTCAACCCCCAGGGCGGAGACTGCTTCACCCCTCTCCTTAGACTCAGCACCTCACATAGTGATCAAGACAAGATACTACCTGGTGGGGCTTATAATCAGGTACAATTTTTATAAAGTTATCCAAATAGGGAATTAAACCCTGGTGAGCCTTCAATGCCTGGTATCTTACCAATTAACCTACCCAGACTTTAGCACCTAATCTGCTTTAGAAGCACTCCTACCCTGGGGAGCTCTGACTTGGAGGGGGGTACCCAGCTCCCGCCCCCAGGGAGCTCCAATCTGGTAGGGGTGCCACATCTCGTGCCCTCAGGGAGTTCCTGGAATGATGGGTAAGTATAATAGTCAAGACACTGCTTCCAGCGTTTATTGCTTCCTTCTCACAGGGTAGGAAAGGTGGCCTCTGGAAGCCCAAGGCTAAATTGTCCTACAGTCCACAGTCCAGAGGAAGAGTCCCATGTCCAGTATCAGACCTCAGAGAAGGTACTGCGTGGGCTGGCCAGGCACCCATCCCTTGGGCAGGTGGGGCAGGGCGAAGGAGAGGCGGGCTGGTCAGCCCTACCACCCTACACAGAATGGGTATGCCATAGGAAAGAGTTCTGATACAGGTGGCCAGGGGCTAGCATGTTGTGCTGGGCAGACAAATACTGCCCCAGGCTGCTGAGGAGGCAGGACACATACATCCAGCCCAGAACATCACTGTGGGGCACGTGCAACAGAAGCGAGCACAAATCAACACTCCAGAGTGCGCTTAAATGCTGAGGTCTGGGAGTTCAACAGGGCACGCTTACAGGCGGAGGTGAATATTGGCCTGGAATTGGGAGAAAGAGGGCAACAGGTCTTTGGGGCAGAGGAGCTGAGGGGTCCTTTCAGATGCCTGGGGACAGGGATGGGGTGCATTTGGGGCCACTATGCGGAAGGAGAAGGCAATTTCTCAAAGGGCCCTGGAGACCTGAGGCCCTACCATTCCGCAAACCTCGCTCAGGGTCCTTGACCATTCGCTCCCAGTTACAGCAGAGGACATGCCCCCACCCTCAGGGCTTGGGACCTGCTCTTGGGAACCTACAGCCTTAGAAGGACTGAAGAGATATGGGCATAGCTTTACTCCTTCCAGAGCGGGACGTGAGGGAGGGCGAGGTAAGTCCCGTGGAAATTAGGAAGGGTGGCAGGGGGAGGGAGAACTGAGCAAGACAGAGGGAGGTTTCTAGCCTGTGAAAGGAGCAGAGAGCACGGGTGGGAGAAAGAACGGGGCAGCCCTCACTGTTGTCATGGCAACACACACAAATCCAACTACTCCGTAAACACCACTGGCTGAGCCTTTTCTTCAGCCAAAGCCCCAGGACAGAAAGAACAGAGACAGCAGAGCCCGGGGTGTGGGGCCCACCCGCAAAGAGCCTGCACCCGTCACGGCCGGGCACTGCTGGGACCCGGCACCTCCTAGCAGGGGCAGGAACGGGGCTCCTTTCAGAGTCACCCTGCCCCTTGGAGCAGACAGAGGAAGCCCCACATACGAAGTACCTCCATCCACAGAAAGGGTCTAACGGAGAAGTTTGTGCAGCAGAAACGCTGGGGCCCCACGCTGGGGAGCAGGCAAGGGGTCTCCATCGGGTGGGCACAGAGGGAGGCACAGCTCTGCCCACGCATATCCCACCAAGCCCAGGGCTCATGGCTAGGACCAGGGGTCTGGTGAGGCAGGCCCTACTCCCTTCTCCTGGGGTTGGGGTGTGCTGGGCTCCACAGGGATCCCAGGAAGGCAGATCCCTCGGCTGGCTGGGGGAGGGATGGCCTGGGACAGATCTCTGCCAACCACTAGGAAGCTGCGTTTCCTCTCGCTCCCTTCTCCTTGTCTCCCTGCCTTTTGATTTTCTTGCTCCCACGTCCTCTGCTCCTCTTCTCTTCCAGCTCTCTCTTTCCTACTCACCTCTCCTCGCCCCCCACTCCTCACTTGCTCCTCTTCCTCTCCCCTCTCTGCCTTCCTCTGCCTCTTGTCCCCTCCATCGGTTGCTCTCTTCTCTCCCGACCTGCCTTCTCTCTATTTAAATCAATACCAAAGCCAGAGGAGTGGGTGGAAAAATACGGCACTGGGGACGGCAAGGAGGAAGGCTTCCGCATTGGGCCTTTCCCTTCCTGCATGGCAGAACCAGAGCAGAGGCCCCGAGAGGCAGCAGCATGGGGTACAGGTCACCCCTGCACCCCACACCCAACCCTCCTGGCAGCCTGAGACCAAAACTCGGGGGAGGAGGGAGGGGCCACTGCTAGCCCCCCCCCCCCCCCCCCCCCCCGCCCCGGTGCCGCCACACAGCAGCTCTGCGTGCCTGCAGACACACGGGGAAACCGCAACGTCCCCAAGTGTGCTTCATCTTGGGACAGAAATCCTAGTGTTCTGCATTTGCAGATTGGCCAAAGCCAACCAACAGCCCTGGAGGAGAGTCGTGTACCCAGGAACGTGGGCAGCAGGAGGGGGCCTGGTCCCTGCACTGGGGAGCTCCCGGAGCTGCGGGCACGCCCGCGCCAGGCCTGTGTGCTGGGCGGCCGTGGAGCTGGCGCTGGGAGCGAGCACGTGGGGCGGCCTGAACATCTCGCGTGGATGGTTGGTTAGGAAGACTTTCTCCAGAGTTAAGACTAAAGTTCACGTGCTCCACTGTGGCGGCCCAAGCCAGGCGTGGACCTACACACCACTCCTCAGGCCATGCTGTGGCAGCATCCCACAAAAAATAGAGGAAGATTGGTACAGATGTTAGCTCACCGACAGTCTTGCTCAAGCAAAAAGAGGAAGAGGGCAACAGATGTTAGCTCAGGGCCAATCTTCCTCACAAAACAAAACGAAACAAAACTGAAGTTCAGTAACGAGGAAGGTCCTTTGACTATGTTCTGCTAAAATAGAAATACTTCTTCCATTGTAAACCCACGTGGTGAGATGGGAGCTGCTCCTAACGTCCCGCAGACACACGTCCTGCAGCTTACAGACCCTTATCTTTGGGGGCAACTGCCCACAGAGGAGGCCCCCACTGGGGACAGCTACACTAGGCATAAGCTGGCCAAACGGTGTCCCAGGATGTTGCCCTGGCCCCCCAAAGGAACTGTGGGCCCAGGAGACTCCCCAAACAGATCTAGATTTATATCCAGAGTCATCTTAAAGTCTCCTGGGTCCCAGAGCGTGGGCTAAGGGTGGTGGTAGGGAGTAAGGCTGTCACCCCAAGAGCCTGCACTCTGGGGCCCTGCACTGGGCCCTGCACTGGGGGGAAATATGGGTTCCTGAGAACCTCGTCTGGCAGAGGTGGTCAGCCGTCAATCAACAGCATCTGGGGCTGTGTGTGTGTGTGTGTGTAAAACGACTGAAACACATACACCACGCAGAGAAGAGAGAGGAGCGGCTAGTCGGCACAGGTGGTGAGAGCACAGGTTCGTCAGGCCTCCTGGAGCCCTTAGCTTCCTCCTGCCATCCGCCACAGTCTGTACCTTCCGGTCATAATGGCTGTTGCGGTTGTCATGGAATGCTAGACATTCTGGAGCACTTGGACTTTCTCATCAATTATCTCATTTGATCCCCATAGCAGTTTCACAGGGATCACTTTCCTAACTTCCAAGATAAAAGCTCTGAACTCAGAAAGGTTAAGTGACTCCCCCAAGGTCACACAGCTCATTAGATTTGACAAAGTACTTCCCAGATGTTTCCAGTGGGTGGGAAATCTCTGCTTTTTCAAAAGGAGATGGCACATTGCTTTGTAGCTCACCGGTCTAAAACACATCAGGTTTAACATTGGTCTAGTACAGCCCAGGAACTCGCCCCTCTGAGACCCCATGGGCTTGGGCCAGGGTGGGATGTGTGGGCAGCTGTCCTGCAGGAGAAGAGGAAAAGTAAAAAGCAAAATGTCTGAAAAAGCAGCCTCCACAAGACTTGTGACTGCACCTCCATATCAATTTATTTGCTCACGTGCACACACACACACACACACGCGTGCTTGTGCGTGTTGCCTGGACACCCTCTCCCTGGGTGCCCCGGTGTCCTCTCCCTGCCTATTGGCACCCTTGTGGCCAGGCCTGCTCCCAGAGCAGAATCTGGATCTAGAGGAGGGGGCAACCCCGTCCCTACTCTCCAAGGGCAGGACACACACACACACACACACACACACACACACACACACGAGCACTCGACACAGGCGAAGAAAACGCATAAACAAATGCAGAGTCATCACCAGCTGCAGGAGCTTTACGCGGCCATGCCAGGGGCGGACAGAACGAGCAGAGAACCGGAGGCGCTGAGTCCAAACAGCTGTGTGCTGTGCTCAGGAGCTAACGCCAAGGGTGAGCTCTAGTTGGCGCCCACGGTCCCCGGCCCCCACACACAGCCTGGGTGGAGTTCGGCTAGGTGGGTAATTGGACCTCGCAGGCTCTGGCCCGGGGCCTGAGCTCCACCGGGTCTGAGCAGGAAGGCGAAGTGGGAGGAGACCCAACATTGTCCCTGCCAAGGGGTGGAGAGGAGGTGCTTGCAATGGGGCTGGGCCGGCCACCTTATGCGGCCGGAGGAGCAGTGGGTGGCTGCCAGGAGACCAGGCCTGTCCTGGCAGTGCCTCAGTGCTGCACTGAGACCCGGCTCAGGTCTTCCGGCTCCTTCTCCATTAGAATAACTGGGAGAGAGGCCCCTACAAGGAGGAAGCATAGAGGACCCATGGCTCAGGTCACAGGGACCTCCTAAGAGCCAGACCTCCCTGCCTTCATCCCCACGGCCTCATCTGAGACCTGGAGCTTGATTTGAATCACGCTTTCAAAAAAACGCTACCTTGTATCCCTTGGTTTATGCTCCCAGCGCTCCAGTTTCCTGCTTGTCATTTGGACAGCGCTGAAAAGAGATAAACAGCCCTCTGTTTGAAGAGCCTCCGAGGAGCCCGCGGCTCCCTGGCCCTTCCGGGCTCCGGGACGGGCGGCGCTGGGGGAAGAGCCAGCCCTCCCCCAGCCCTGGCTGCCCCAGGCCTGGTGACTGGAGAGGGTGGCTCCCGCCCCGCCTGGGGAGTGGGGGAGACGGGAGGAGGGCTCTTCTTCTGCCTGCAGCATGGCTGATTCTGCAGTTTACGGCCGGGCACCTAATTTATAAGCTGTTTTTACTGCTGTTGTCAAACAGCCACAAACCAAAGAAATAAAGTAGCCAGAGGAACAATGTCTCCCCTCTGCCTGGCCCTCCCAGCCTGTCTGCTGTCAGGGCCTCTGTCTGAAGGGCCGGGGAGCTAAGGGCCTCTGTGCCAGACCCTCCAAAGTGCCTCCCGCAGGCCCGTGCCAGTGGGAGACCCCAGGGGCTGGCTGTGTTGGAGCACCTCAGCGGACCGCGAGAAACGAGCATGTGTCCAAACCTTGCCACCTCGTGCTGAGCGGGCCGAAACTGCTCTCCCGTCCTCATGCGGGTACCTCTCCAGTGTCCCCCTGGTGCCGAGCAGAGACGGGCCAAGGACGATGTTTGGCAGGAGGAAGGCAGTGAGAACGTCATAACCCCAGGGCTCCAGGCTGCCCTGGGGACAGCCCGGCCATCACTCTGCCCACCCGCCGCCTCGTGGTCCATAGCTGGTGGTGGCCTCCACATCAGCACCTGACTGAGCAGGGAGAGCCCCTCGTGGGGAACAGTGTCCTCTACAAGATGACACCTGAGACTGCCGTGGTGCCTGCTTGTGGTCACTTCTGGGCTGGGCCTGGAGCGGGCAGGTGAGGGATTCAACAGTGGGATTCTAGGATGGGGAGGGGGTGAGAGGACTGACGCAGCTAACAGGCAGGCAAGACGGTGCTGAGGGGTGAGTGTGGGGACCCCCCGGGGAGGAGCTGGCAGCCACTCAGGACGCTCCTGCTGGACCCCAGGGAGAAGGGCTGGGGAGCTGATCGTCTCTGATGCCCCTCTTCTGTGAGGGGCCTCTAACACGTCACTGGTTTGGTTAGGGGTTGAGGACCCCAAAGGCCTCCTTGGCTGGGAGGAATGTCAAGGCCTGGCCCCTCCTCCATCACACTGGAGGAACACAGAGGACAGGGATGGCTTCTCCCAGGGCGTGCAGGACTCTGTCCCCGAGCTGAGTACTGAAGACCGTTTGCTGCCTGGGAAAGAGGAGACAGCTGCTTCCAGCCACAGAGAGCCGGGTAGGTCACGGTTACTCAGTTGCCGAATCCTGTCTGCTGTTTGTTCAGCACAGATAACCCGGCCCAGCCACAGCTGAGTCCAGACCACCTCTGTCAGAGCCACCCTAACCACAAGCTCACCTAGACCCATTCAGATATCCCTCTCCATAGAGCTGCCAGCGAAGCAACTCCCTGCCGGCACTCTCGAACCCAGACACAGACACCAATCAGACCCTCCCGCCTCAGACGCCAGACCCTCCCCCTTCGGACATCAGACCCTGGCCCCTCGGACATCAGACCCTCCTCCCTTGGACATCAGGCCTGCCTCAATCTTGCTGCCCTGCCAGGCCTCCCTTTGCTGACGCAGCTGCACTTGGTGTGCCCTCCCCACCCCTGGTCTCCCTTCATCATGGGCCTTCCCTCCTAACCAGCATCACTCCTGCACCCTTCCTGCCTGCCCGCCGCAGCCCTGGTTAGGGTCATACTCCTTCAACACCTTGCGGGCCTTCTCTGTGTAAGGAAATGAGAGGCGCTGGGGGAGGAACCTTGACTGGTACCCAGGCCCTGCCCTTGAGGGGCTCACAGTAAGTCAGGAGCACTGTCATGACCACGGACCTCCCTGTGAGGAACGGGGAGAGGCTCAGAGGTGGTCAAAGTTGCAGGCTGGTCAGTGGCAGAGCAAGGGCTGGACCTTTGCCCTCTTTCCAGAATTATGTTGTAATGTGTGTGGATTTGGCGTCAGGCAGACCTGGGCTGGCCTCCCGGTCCTGCCATTTTCTAGCTATGTGACCTTTGAAAAGCTATCCAGCATGTCTGAATCTTAGTTTCTCCACGTTCAAACCAGGGGACCAAGGCCTTGCTTATGGGGTTCTCATAAAGATCAGGCGAGATGATGTAGTGTGCACAGAGGAGTGAGCTCGGTAGATGGCACTGCCCAGGAGTGGGAGGGGGACAATGGGGAGAACAATACGGCACTGACGTGACTATGCGTCAGGGCACACAGGGCCTCCTCATAGCAACCCTCTGCAGGAGGTGCTTGTACTTTTTAGTACAGTCGAAGAAAATGAGACTTTCAGAAAGCAATGACTTGCCCAAGTGCCCCAGCTCACAGGTGGAGATACCGCGCATCCCAGCCTGCAGACCTCCCGCTGGCCCTCCCGGCCCCTCTGCCTCATCTGCAAGCCCTCTGACTCTTAACCTACAGACACTTACTGGTCTCTGAGGTTTACAAAGCCCTCTGGGATACAGAGTAGAATAAGGTGAAATCCTTACCCTCCAGGAACTCACAGTTTGGGGAGAGAGGACATAAATATAAAAGGTAATTGATGGTACATGCCACAGATAATTCCCATGTGAGTTCCAGCCCGGGAGGGACCACAGCAGTAATCGGGGAAGTAATCAGGGAAGCCTTCAGAGAGGAGGCAGGGACTCCAGATGGGCTTGAGGGATGGGAATGTCCAAGAAAAGCTGGTAGATAAGGATAGACATTCCAGAAGGTAGAAATGGAATGAGCAAAGGCACAGAGGCAGAATTAGTCTCAGTATGGAGAGGGGATACTGAGTCCCACACTCGCACAGCATCTTTTCACTCACTCGTTCATCTCTTTGCTCATCCACTCATTCAACAAATATTTCTTGGGCATCTACCATTTGTCAGGCATTGTGCCAAACCCTGGGGATAGAGAGACAAACAAGGTGTGGATGCTGTTCTCGAATAACTCAGTCTAGATGGCAAGACCAACAGGACCATGAGGAAATGTTAAGGTAGACAAGTTTGGGTGCTGGGGGACCCAGAGGAGGGGCCCTCCATCCATTTTTGTGGGCCAGGCAGGGTTTTCTAGAGGAGGTGGAGTCTGAGCTGAAACATGAGGGACACGAATACCAAATGATTTAAAAACATTCATACTCACTATCATGATCAGCATTGTCAAAATAACTTACATTTATTGAGCCCTTGCTAAGTTCCAGAGACTAGACTGGGTACTTTACATATATTCTCTTCTAATACTCATGACATTCCTCTGAGATGGATGCTATTCATCACCCTATTCAGAGATGAAAAAATGGAGGCTAAGTGTATTTACAAGACTTGCCCAAAGTCACATGGCCAGGAAGTGTCAGAGTCAAGATTCAAACCAGGTCTTAACCTTTGTGTCCTTAACCATTTACCCTCTGGGATGGTGAATGTGCCTGTGTGTGCGCGTACACGGGTGCACGTATGCATGTGCACGTAGGGGAGGGTGTTTGTTTAACCCACTGAGGGATGTTGTCCAGTCTGCCCACAGTACTCCCAGCATCACTCCAACTGCCCATACCCTCAGAGCTTGGCCTTCCTGCCCCTGGAAGAGTGGGGGATCCTTCCTCCTCTGGAATTGCTGATCCTTCAGAGTGTAAGCCTGGTGCTCCAAAAGCCAGAGCACCAAAGAGCAAATGAGCCCCAAGAAGAGCCAGAGACATCTCCTCCCCTTTCCTGAGCTTTCCCTACTCCTTCAGCCCCTTTCAAAGGACAGGCCCCAGGGGAAGAGGGGGGTGGGGGCAGGGAGCTGCAGGCTGACTCAGAGTCATTGCCAGGGCAGCTCAGGTGAAGTTCTCCCTCTCTTGTCACCAAACTCCAGCAATTAACACACCAGAACTGTCAAACACAAATAAATTTATGGAACTCTTCTCCAAGAGAGGCGGCATGAAGTACCACGGTGGGCTGTAGACTGGCTCTGCCATTAACCACTGCGGGGTCTCAGGGCCTCCACCCACAAAATGAGAGGCTTTGTCCAGATAAGTCCAGTCTGTTTGTAAGGAGATGGGATAAAGGGCAAGATAGACTCCAGCTGACTGTCTACCTTCCTGGGAGCCCTCAAGATCAGGATGCAAAAGAGGGACGTGCTCTAGACGAGCAGTGGGGAGGTGGAGCGTGAGTGGAGCAGGACAGGCCTGTGTCTCTCCCCTCCAGAGATTTAGGGCGGAGAGAGAGAGCAGAGTTCCCGGGGCTGTTCATATGGGGAGGGTGTGAGGGTAGTTAAATGAATCGAGTCTTAGAATGGCTCTTTCAGGGCCCTGCCCTGGGACCCCGTAAGGGGCAGCACTGTGCCTCCTGTGCCAACTGCAGGGTGGAGTCTCTGATCACCAGAGCACGCCACTGGCTCAGAGAATGCAGACTGGGCCCCCAAACAAAGCCTACAAGTAATGCAAGTCCTACGGTAATTGAATTCAGGATCCTCCTTAAACTTGAAGGTGAAGCTGATTAGGCTTAGAATAATCAAATAAACAAAATAAGTTTATAGTCCTACTTCAAAGGGGAGATAATCCACTTAGAAGACAATACCCCAAGAGGAGGCACGGGCTGGAAATACAGAGAGCTCCCAAACGAGATTATAATGATTCCCTGAGAATGGATTCATTGTAGGTTAGAAGGAGAATGAAAGTATTATAGCTATATTTCTAACACTGGAGAATCTGGCCCTTCCGCACCTCCCTGAACATCACACCAAGGCCACAGGTGGGTCAGGGGCTGACAGAGAGTGGCGACAAAAACTGGACATTCTTTTTTTTAACTTACAATTTTTTTTGCAGGGAAAGATTCACCCTGAGCTAACATCTGCTGCAAATCCTCCTCTTTTTGCTGAAGAAGACTGGCCCTGAGCTAACATCCGTGCCCATCTTCCTCTACTTTCTATGTGGGACGCCTGCCAAGCAGTGCCATGTCCGCACCCGGGATCCGAACTGGCAAACCCCAGGCTGTCAAAGCAGAACATGCGCACTGTACTGCTGCGCCACTGGGCCGGCCCCAAAAGAGCACTGAATTTTAACCACTAGGCCATCATGACTGGCTCCTTTTTTTTTTCAAGCCAGGAAATGGACATTGGTACAATCCACAGACATTCAGATTTCACCAGTTTTACATGGGGGTGTGTGTGTGTAGTTTCATGCAATTTTATCACGCATAGATTCGTGTAACCACCTCTATAATCAAGACAGAGAACTACTCCATTTGCAGAGATCCCTCTGCAGTCACACATACCCCTCTGCTCGTCCTTAACCACCCCTCCTCCCCAACCCCTGCCAGCCACTAATCTGCTCTCCATCTGTATAACTATGTCATTTTGAGAATGTCACATAAATGGAATCATGCAGTATGTGCCCTTTCGAAGCTGACTTTTTTCACTCCACAGAACGCCCGTGACATCCATCCAACGCGTGGTGTGCGTCAACAGTTCATCGTTTCTGGTTGCTGGGTCGTGCTCTGCAGCATGGATGTCCCACAGTTTGTCTAACTGTTCACCTGTTGAATGACGTTCGGGTTGTTTCCCACTTGGGACTAATACGAATGAAATTGCTGTGAACGCTCACGTACAAGCTTTTATGTGGACCTAAGTCTTCATTTCTTCGGGCCACGTCTAGGAAGGTGGTTGATGGATCACACGGGAAGAATATGTTCAGGTTTTGAGAAACAGCACTTGGGGACAAATAGACAGATCGGCACATCTGGGAACTGCAGGGGTCTCCATTGCACGGCAGAGGTGTCCACCAGGTCCAGGCTGGGGCCTGATAGGGAAAGAACTGAGATTTATGGCCCTACAGAGCCTGAGCCTGCAGCTGACACAGCTGGGAAGTGACCAAGGGCAGCTGGAAGGAGGAGCTCTCCAAAGTCCAGACCTGTTCAACACAGTCAAGGGAGAACACAGAACCAAACTGTCGGCAGCAGGGTGGTACTGGCCTCCCAGAAGCCCCTGACCACGCTAGAAAGACGGGCTCGCGGAATGATCTTCAAGCCCGAATCATGTGCTGTGAGTCAGAGCCCCACGCACAGAAAGCACAAGTGGAGAGGCGTCACTGCTCCCTAAGGAGGCTCCCCAGGCTCCACCTCACCTGACCGCAGAGGCTGCTGAGTGGAGGGCACCGGGCCTGCCACTCACGCCCTCAACAAACATTCGGTGAGCCCTCCTGTGTGTGAGCACTGTACTAGGCTTCTGACATGACCTAAAGAAGCCGGTATCTGGACAGTTGGTCACCATCTGGAGGTGACACATAGTTCTGCGGAACAGAGGATGCTGAGAGCTGTTCCAGGGCACCTTAAGAAATTAGCATCTTTGCTGCCAGAGCTTCCTAACAGAGGGCAGACTACAGGACACGTGGAGGAGGCAGCGTGTCGGGGAGCTTAGGAACAACAGCTAACACTTAGGTGTACCTTGGCACACACCAGGTGCTAGCACTGTGCCAAGCATGTGATGATAATTCAATAGTGTAAGATTCATGCAACGTATACTTACTGAATTTCTTACTGTGGGCCCAATGACCAAAGAAGACCCTGATGTCGAGGGATGGGGAGAGCGACTCGGCCAAGAGACAACTGGGTCCTGGAAGAGTCCCGGCCCAGCACGGCCAATGCTTTCTGCTTTCTCGTGCTGGATATTAGGGCAGTGATTCAGTGATTCTCCAATGGGGAGGGATGGGGGAGCTTAATCTCCAATTTGGGATTTACACAGAGATTGAAAAAGCATATCCAAATGATACTATAATTCTGTATTTGGAAAATAAAAATTATTTTTTATAATAAAAACTAGAGTAAGTCGGGCTTGATAAAATGGTCTTAGCTAGTGCAGATACACAGAAAAACAATAATTCTCAAAGAGGGCAACGTTCTGGGGCAAGATGCAGCAGAATCTCTGAAGGTGTGTGTGCTATTTTTATACTTATCACAAAGAAAGTTCCAGTGAAAAGAAAACAATTAAAAACATTATATTTACATTATACCATATTCACCCTGTTCCTACCCACTTTCTTAAATGGTTGCCCCTCTCCCAGCCAAAGTCAAAAAGCACAAGCTTCAGAGCACCAGTCAGGGGGCCCTCGATGCCTCCTGCCCCATCTTTCCTTGATTAACCTTGTCCCCTGCTTCCAAGAAGCCCTTTGGGATGTCAAGTTGTTCCCCTTTTCTCTGAAGGTTGTGCAAGGAAGAAAGCACCTCTTGTTTCAGAAGCTGACTGGAGCCAGCCCTGGCTGAAAGTCCCCTCTGGTGGTGACTTTGTCAGAGGTCTGCCTGGCGGGAGGGCCCGGCGGCATCAAGCATTCTCTCTGGCAAATCTGGCAGCAGGAGGACAGCGAGGCTCGCGGTGGGAGACCGTAGGGTCTCTACCCCTCAGCACCCACTGAACAGCATCCGGCAGCCCCAGAATGTTCTAAAGCTCAATCCGTGGAAAAGGAGCAAGATCAGCTTCTTCTTTTTGTCCTTAAGAAAAAAAGATACATTCCAGATAATTTCACCCTGATGGAAGAGGAGGAACCACTGAAGGAGCAAAGGAAATAAATTAACGCATCTCAGCGAAAACCGCACACAATTAAAACCTGGACCTGAATGTACTTTCCTGCGCAGAGAGAGCATCTTGAAAATGACACGCATTAGTCATCCGCTCCAGCCACCCTACTCACCGTGTGGGGAGATCATCTCTGACGTTGCAGGGGCGGGAGAGGAGACGGGGGCCTGACCTGGGCCCTCCGCTTTCTGTTGCCCCATCTGGAGTCTGACAATTCCACTCGTCTGAGACGGAGGCCTCCAGGAGAGCCAGGCGGGAAGAGGCCTCTTCCAGAGGCCATTTCACCCATCTTCCCTTCCAGGGTGGGACCCGCCCAGCAGAGGCAGGGGCCTGGGGTCTGTGAGGGATCTGGACCATTAGCATTCCTGTAGAAGTACACAGCAGTGGCCCAAGCGCCTGGACTCTCTGCCTGGGGTCCTGGCCTGCCAGGAGCCCAGCATTTGGGGGTCACCCCTCACGTCCTACCTTCGGGCTGCTCAGTCTCCCTCAGCTCAGTTGGAGCTGAGCTCCTTCTCTTCCTCCTACTTTTCTCCTTCCCCTCCTTATCATTTTTCTTCTTCAGAAAAGAAAAGAAGACCCCCAGCAAAGGAGATGGGTTTATAAGGCCTGAAGAAGACAGAAAAGATTTGATGAACCAAAAGGCCCCTGGGGCCCCACATACAGAGGTTGGTGACCAGTGACAGGCTGTTCTTCATCTCCCCTGAGGTTAGAACAGGAAGAAATGTGATTCGTGACAGGAGGAGCAATAAGCATAAACCATGAGGCTGAGCTTTCTGACAGGGGAGATTTTAATCCCTTTGACGAGTGGGTCTCTGGAAGTGTGGGATCTCTTTGCTATGAGAGGCAGGGGAGTTGTGGAGGGGGTTAAAAAAAAGGAAAAAACAACGACAAAAGCTGAGTGAACTTCGACCAGAGGACACAGGCCGAGTCTGCTTTGGACCTCTTCCTTCCTGGGAGACTAGCCACGTGAATCTCATAAGCACTAAGTGAGACAACACACTAAACGCTCCCAGCACAGAATCAGGGGCTCAGTGTCAGTTTTACCCAAGTTGCTTAGCATGCAGGTCAGCCCCTCAGGACAGGAGAACGGACCAGGCTGACCTCTGCCTGAAGAACCATTTAATCTAGGGTCAGGATGGTGCCCAGGCCACGCCTTCCTCAGCCCTCTCTCCCTCTGTTCATTTTAAGGCCTAAGTATCAGGATTTAGGGCCCAGGATGCTTGCTTCAGGCTGCCCAGCAGGGCTGGGACTAGGTGAGGCAGGGAAGCATCTAGAGCTGAAACTGAAGGCAGTGCCCACTCTTGGGGCCCTGCAGGTGCAGGGTCAGCCCCTGGGAGGAAGAGCTTTCTTAAATGCTGTGCCCCAGGTAGCTAGCTTGCCTGATTCTAGTTCTAGCCTTGCTGCTCAGCCCTCTGCCTTTGCTGTTCCATGTGTTTCTGAACGGGAAGAATATAATCGCCCTTGACGAAGCTACAATCCCAGGGGAGTCATCTAGACTCATTAGTTTTTACCGATTGACTTCTCCCTAAACCTACGGAGGTGAGATGGAAAGGACAAAGTCAGACAGAGTCGAAATCACCCAATCAATAATGCTGCTGGATCCAGGGAACGACTCAGACACTTACCCCTGCCCTGAGCACTCCCGAGTGGGGACGCCCCACTCAGAGCTAGGGGCTGGCAGGGGCACGGGGACATATGGGAGATTCTGTCCTATGCACAGAGAGCCTATGGGAAGCCCGCCATGAGCAAGGGCCTCTGCTGGGCACTCTGGGGAAATGGTAATGGATGATACAGCTCCGTGGAGGAGTTTGTAATTAAGTAGGAAGGCAGGATACCCAGATAAAGTACCTTTTCAGACAAAGTGCAAATGATTGCAAATAAACATAAAGTGGCATAAACTGAGACTATTCCTGCAGAAGGGAAACTGAGCAGAGTGGTCAGAATCAGGAGTGAATGGTGAAAGGCTTCCTGGAAGGAGCAGAATTTTCTCCCTGGTTGACAGTGCTCCTCAAGGTGTGGTCCTCTGGATCACTTGGGGAGCTGGTCAAAAATGCAGTTCGGGAGCCCCACTTCAGACCCGCTGGGTGGGATCCAGGAAACCACATTTTAATGAGTTCCCCAGGTGATCCTTTTGCACTCATGGTTTCAGAAACACGAGTTTAGAAAGCAAAACTAAACCCAGGTGGTGGCTCCCGGGACGGACCTCAAGAACGATCTTTGGCGAGCCCCGTGAGCTCTAAGATCTGCGCTGGAATTAACTCAATATTGGAAGTGAGACCGGAAAGACTTCCTTCTCGGAGAGAAAATAAGGAGGAAAATAGAGAGGTCAGAACCAGTGCAAAGAGAAAGGACAGGATGAGGACATGCGGAGTCCCCAGTGCCTTTGCCCTGTGAACCACTTCTGTAACGAAACGTTCAGAAAGGAATAGAGGTTGATTGGAAAAGAGGACAATCAACAGAAGTGATCTGGTCTTGGTCTTCAACCAAGTGAAAAGGCTGAATTTGGGGAAACACTTTACTCTTAACACATGAGATACTCCGTGCGGATCCTATTTGCAGGCTTTGGGAATAAACAGGCAAGACATCATAGATACCCCTAGTAAGAAACACACTGAACATCACCACTCAGTACACACGTATGTCTACAGGAAACCGGAGCAGAAGTATTAATGAAATATGTTCTATCCTGTTCTTTTTTAAGTTCTTCCTGTGTCCCACTAGTGGGTCTTGACTTGCAGTCTGAAAAGACTGAAGTAGGTGGGAGGTGGATGAAGGCTTGGGGACAAAGTCTCCTTGGCAGCCTGTGGGTTACAGTGAGGTAGCTCAAAAGTCAAATGAAAAAGTCCTTGAGGGCCCCGGGGACTGACCTCTCAGGAAGCCTAACCATTCTCCTCTCCTGCCTTCAATTATCTTCTCAAAACTTTCTTCCTCCAGAAAGCCATTCCAGATCAGCCTCACCCAACTGCGCGTGTTGCAAGCCCTCTCAAGCGTCCCCCTTTGCTGGTCTATGTGTAGGCAGCTTTTAGCTTAAGTGACGAGCACGTCAGAGTGGGCCAGCCGCACCCACGAATGCTGCTGCCTGGTTGGTCTGTTTTCAGGTGGGCCATGGGGCACAAAAATCTTCGTCTCTCAGCTTCAGACCTTTGACAGTCTCCCTCTTGCCTACGCAGGTTCCGTGTGGGGGAGGGAAAGTCTCTTCAGTCCTCTCCAGGGCTCCCTCCTCCCCCTAAAATAGCATTTCTCCCAGGAATCTTCTGAACACATTAAATTAAACAGAATGGGATTTGGTTACCATATTGTCCGGTGTAGCAGTTTTATATACTCAAATTCAATTTCACAAATACAGAGTATAGGTGTGTCATTTACAGTTGATTAAATATGGTGTTTATAGTGCTTATACCTATTCCTAGAAAAAGTTGGGCACCAAGACCTTGGTGAGGAATGTAATTTCCATTATCACAATGTTTGTGGGAAAAAACAGATTCAACCTACATCATTTTTACCTGCAGTGCCTTTTCCAGGAATATAACCCAAGACGGCTTTGAGGAGTCCCACAGCTGCACACAGCTCTGCCATCTGCAATTCCGCCTTTCTGGCTGGCTGTGCTCCAAGGGTGGCTGTGGATCTGGGCAGCTCCCCGAGGGCAGGGGACAGGGGAGGATCCAGGTTTTGGGGGGCCCTCTTAAGAAAAAGAACAAATACAAAATTAAGTCCAGTGGCGATATTTCTTTAGAGTCAGAAAGATCATAACCATTTACAAGAGCCTTGGAAATTCAGATCCATTTCTTCCAACAGCTCCTCATTCGGTTTACCAGAAATGTCTACATAAAAATGCTTCCTGTTGGCAAACTGGCCTCCCCTGCCCACCTAGCACACTCCACAGCCTCCAGCTCTCATAGCCACCCCTCCCCTCAGCCCCACAAGTGAGCAACCCTAAAGCTTAAGCGTCATCAGCATCACCGTGAACCTGTCTCTGGCAGGGACCTCATTTCGCCTTTCACCATTGTCCCCAACAACCAGAAGACAGGGCTCTGCACTCCCCTGATCCCAGGCAGGGAGAGGTCAAAGAGCAACGGGCACACCAGGCCAGTGAGTCTCGAAGAAAGGTTAATCCAGTCACTTGAAGCAGAATCACCTGGAAAGCTTGTCAAAATGCAGATTCCAAGAACTACAGAATCTGACTCCCGGGTAGACCCCGTGAGTTTGCCTTTGTACACGTGCTCTAGGCGATGCTTCAGCCTGAGGACCACTGCTCTGGGGACACACTCTACCTAGTTGGGCCACTGGCGAGACAACAGTCCTCAGTGACTCAACCTCTCCCGGGCCTGCTGAGGGGGGGCCAGGCATAGGCTGCACCCAGCAGTGGAGAGCCCACTGAAGGAGGAGGCCCCGCATCCCCAGCCCCGCTTCTCTGCTTGGCTCATCTGCCAGACTCCAGGAAGAGCCCTCCTCTCCTTACCGCCCCCACCAAATAAACAGCATGCTTGCTAGCTCAGTGTCTGATCCCCACCTCAAAGAGCCAAATGGAGTTGAGCTGAGGATCATTTGGAGGGGTGTGTAATCCTAGTATCCTTCTCCGAAAACACTCTGGTGCACAGAGTCCCAGACTTCCTGGCAGGAAGTGACGCACAGCTAAGCCTGGAGATCAAACCTGGAGGGTGAAAGGTCAGGGACAGGGCCATGGAACCCTCTGGGTCACGACCTACGAGCTTCCAAAGGACTGGACTGAGTCCTCATCTGTTTCCAGGAAAGTGTCTGGCTCAGAGTGGCGGCCATGGGAGCCACGCTGAGAGAGAGACTACCATTTACTGAGACGTGCTCATTGCCAGACACGTGGACCCCTTACCTCTCACAACAACCCTACGGGTGTAGGTTAATACCCTTACTGTTACCCCCATCCTAAGGAAGTGCTGCAGGGTGGTGGTTCAGAGCTTGGATACCCCTGGGTTCACATCTCAGCACTAGTGCACCATGTACCAGTTACATAAATGTTGAATCTTTGTTTCTTCCTATCTCCAGAGTCCTAGGTTTGGTGGAATTTTCAACAAGCTGATGCATAAATGTGCTTTGCATTGGGGCTTACATATAGCAAGTGTGCAACAAGTCTGACCTGCTATTACTTGAATTAACATTTTTACAGAGGAAAGAACTGGAGCTCAGAGAAGCTGAGCACTTTTCCTGAAGCAACACAGAGTAAGTGATAAGCAGAGTTTCAAACCTCTGGCTCTAAAACCTATGCTCTTTCCTCAGTCCCATTGGGTTATAAGAAATTTGAAGTCAGCTCAAGAGAAGGGTGCCCCATTCTCTGCCCACAGGCAATGCAATTCCCCTATCCTTTACCCAGCACGCGTCTTACAGGGCCCGCCACTCAGAAACCAGCCACACAGCAAAGGTTACTTGCTTTCCTGCATTAATTCTCCAATAATCAGTTACTGAGCATTTGACTTGATGCTGTGTCCAACAACCTTAGTCTCTAGAAGATTCCGGCCTGGTTGGAGCTAAGAGATGGTAGGCAGCAAGCGTAGGAGCTGGGAGAGGACTGGCAACGTTTCCTCCTTTACGTGACAGTCTGCAGACAGTGACGTGGGCCCTCAGGATGGTGAGGCGGCTTCACTGAATTCACAAGGGACCCAAATACTCATGCTCAAGAGCTTGGAGTCCAGTTTTGACCCCTTTCACTCACTCAGTCAATCTCCCATTCTGCCAGTCTTCCTTACCAAGGCCCACTGCAGTTACTCTCCATTCCCCCGCCCCCAAAGGAGCCTCCACCTTTCTGCCTCTCTCACCCACATCATGCACGCACTGGCCACAGCTAAGCTGCTCGGCCTGCGACTCAGGCGCTCTGTCAGCTGCTCCCACTCTGCAAGTCCAATGCGGTCCCATGGCAAGGGTACCGTGGTTCAAAGAAGAGGGCTCAGGTCTGCCTGGAGATCTCAGACTCTCCGAGCCTCCGTTCTCCTGTCTGCTAAATGGGGTCCGAGCCCACTCAGAGGACGAAGTGAGAGAGGCCTGTGAAAAGCCCTGGCATCCAGCTGTGGCTCCCCTGTCCCGTCTCCACCACCCATTCTACCCTGCTGTCTCCACTTTCCTGCACTTGCTGGGCCCTGTTTTCTCTGTCAGTTCAAAACCTACCCCTCCATCCAGCCTCAGCCTGAAGCTCAACTTGTCCATCAAACCTTCCATGAACAACCCTGGCCGTAATGGCCTTTCCTTTCTGCATTTCTATGGCACATCCATCGCCTCGAAATGTAAATTTGTTTCCTATAATTCCACCTTGTTCCTCTAAGCTCCTTGAATTACGGCCCACAGCAGGGGTGGCAGCTGGGGCATGGGAGGATCACAGGTACAGTGGGAATCTCCTGCCTGCCTATTGACTATACGCAGGCGAGAACACCCTCTGTGCACACAGAACACACAGACCTTCAGGCCCACCGGCCGAGCCCTGGGAAAGACAGCCGGGAGCTCTGTCGGTGTTCTGTCCTGCGCCTGGCACACGGGAGGCACTGAGCTCAGCCCTGGGTGGAGGACGACAGAGGGACACCACTGCCGCAGGACTCCCTCTACCTTGGGCTCCCCCTCTCCCTCCCTTATTGTTGCTTCTGCAAACGCGGCAGGACCCATCAGAGGGGTGTGGCCTGTCATGGAGCTCAGCTCCCTGTCCATTCCCAGCGTCCAAGCTGAAGGCCCCGCTAAGGCATGGGCCTCCAGCCTTCACTCCAACAGGAGACCCACTCTGGTAAGCCAGACTAGCGGCAGTGAGCCAGCCTTTCCAAGCCACCAGGCAGCAGCCCAGCACCCACCCTCAGCATGGATGAGCTCCTGCTCTCCTTTGGCAGTGTTCATAATGCCCAGCCTGCAGCATGGACATCCCCAAAGCCAAGCGCCTGTGTGGGCTGGCCAGTTGCTACCTAACACCTAGGTACATCGACATCCTTTGCTAAGGGCCAGGACAGGAGCTTCCGAAATGCCAGAACTGCCCAGCTCAGGGAGCAATGTTGGAAGGGCATGAGAACTCAGGGGGCGTATTCCACTCCATTCTTTAGGTTGAGAGGTGCCTGTACTCACGGACAAATTCTAACCTCCCCCCTGCAATCCTTAGTCCACTGTTAACTTCGGAAGGGTAGCACCATGCAATGCAAAAACGTGGTCTTGGGTGCACACTGCGCCTGTGCTCTGTACCTGTCCTCTAAAAGCTGCTGGCTTTCCTCTCTGTCCTCCTGGCGTTTGCAACAGGGTAAGAGGCGACATCAGAAGACCTATCCCCTTCTCTTGAGACCCAGGCGCTGTGCCCCTTTCTCCTTTCAGCCAAGCCTTGCCTCTAAAGGCACAAGAACACCACCAGCCCAGATACTCAAGCTTTAGCATCTGGCCCCACCCAACTTCTGCCTGTGGGGTGTTTACGTGTGCTAGGGAGAGGGGGCCCCTGGCCACTCAAGAGTTAAAACGGCAGCGGGACTGGAGGGGGCGGCGTGGCACGCAGACGAGGAGAGGGCGACCGGAGCGGGCTGGGGAGGTTGGGAGAGCGGCGGAGTAGCGAGCGAGGAGGGCGAGGGAGCAGCCGGGAGGAGGGGCGCGCAGCGGGGGCGCCGCGAGGGCCGCTCGGTGCGCTCGGGGACGCGCGGCGCGCAAAGGGCGCGCCCGGCTCTCGGCCGCCCGCCTCGGCCCCGGCGCGCGGGGGTGGCGGTGCTGCGCTCGCCCTGCGCCCGCCCTGCCCCAGGACTGCTCCGCGGCGGGGAGCGCGCCCCCCGGCCCTCGCCCGGCCTGTGCCGGCGGCGCGCGCGGAGGGAGGGCGCGGACCGGCCTCCCCAGCCCGGCGCGCGGAAGCCGAGCGGCGTGCGGCGGACGGCGGCCCCGGGAGCCCGGACGGCGTCCGCGGGGTGAGTGTGCGGCCGGGGGCTGAGCCCGGGAGGGGCGGCCGCGGGCTTCCGCCGAGATGCCCGCAGGGGAGCTGGGGACGCGGGGAGGGAGGCGGCCGGAGGGGAGCGGGAAGGGGGCTGGGGAATGTCGAGAAGGGGCCGACCGCGCGGCTGGACCCGAGGCGGCGGCGGAGGGGACGTCTGGGCCTTAACCCTCCCGGAGAGCCCGCCCCGCCCCAAACTGTTGCTGGGTGGAGCGGGCCCTGAGAGGCCAGGAGCCGAGAGGTGGCCGAGAGGTTAGGGAGGGCGTGACAGGGGCGGGCTCGCGCTCCAGAGCCTCGGGAACTTCCCCTTCCTTGGACTCGCGTCTGTGCCGGCACAGGGTCGCCTTGGTATCTGCCCGAAGTATCTGGAACCAGCAGCCAGGCTGCTCCCGGGCCGGCAGGGGTCTGTCCACAGCCTGGGATGGGACGTTTGGGGTGGGGGATGGGGCGGCCTTGGGCGCCGCCTGGGGGCTCTGGGAGTGGGAAGCGGAACAGAAGGACCGCTCCGGGCCCACCGTAGCACCCGAGACGGGAGGGGCTGGCCAGCCACAGGTGGTCCGTCTGTCCTGCAGGCAAGGGCGGCGCAGGCTCTGGCTGCCCAGCCAGCGAGGGGGCGCCGGGTGAGGGGGCACTGAGCTCCTTTGAGGGCCGAGCTGAGAAGCTAAAGAGGTGCAGGAGACCTGGATCCCGGGGGTGGGCTCTAGGGTGTTGCTGTGCTCCCCTCCGTCCCTGGCCTCCCTCCCCCACCAAAGGAACAGGAAGGAAAATGTCAGCTGGGCTTTGTGCTCTGTTCCTCAGGCTGCCGCAGCTCCCATCTGTTGGAGCCAACGCAGCTTCTAATTGGGTGAATGGCAGGGTCGGGAGGGGGTGGACTGGGCCCAGCGCTCAGTTGCCAGAGGTGGATGGGACGGGCTCTCTGCTTGAAGACCCCCGGGGGTGGGGGGAGGCGTAGAGAGAACAGCCTCCTCCGGTCAGGGAATAGAGGTGGCTCCCTGCCAGCTTGGTCACCATCGTGCAGGAGATCTGAGTCTTTCCATGCGCCCAGGCTGACGGCAGGCTCTCCTTTCCCCGCCAGCCTGGCCCAGTGTCCTCTTCCTGAATGAGAAGGCCAGGATCCCCTCCCGCTGCCCACAGCTCCTTAAAGCTTCCTCCCACAAAGAGCTCTGGGTATGGGGTGGGCAGGGCTGGCCCCCTTGCCTGTGGGCCCTGTTGTTACCAGAAAAAAGTCACATGTGGGTGGCCTGACCCACTTTCCTGGCTGGCCAGGTGCCCTTGTCAGGAGAAGATGGAAAGAGAAAGGCACAGCCAGGAGGTCTGAGCCTTCCAGGCCCTCTTCCCTCCCCTGGGCTGCCTCACACGGGGTCTCCTTCCCGCCTGGGGGTCCCTCTGGGCCTGGGCTGGCACCTCATTATTTGGAAAGGATGGACCTAAGGGCCTCAGTGCTTTGGGGATTGAGACCTGCCCAGGGTCTGGCAGACACCTGGTGTCTAGGAGCATCCCCAGATCCACACCCTCCCCCTGGCCCAGCCTAACCCCAAGGAGACACCAAGTGGCAGTGGGAACTCAGAGGTCGCTCAGAGGATTTCCACCCGGGGTTAGAGAGCAGCTTTCCTCTGTCCTTTCCACGATTCCTCCCCATCCCCATTCTTGCTGCCTGTCTCTCTCCTTCCTCCTCCTCTCTTTCTCTCTCCTTCACTCTTCTTGCTCATTCCTCCTCAAGCATCTCTTCGTGCCCCTTTCCCCTCGCACTGCTTTCCCTCTTGGGTCACCCTCCTCCTTCTTGCTGAGTCTGCTCCCTCCCTCCCTCCCGGGTCTCTGTCTCCACCTTTGCCCCCTTCTCTTCTGTAAACTGCAGCTTAAACCGCAAGCCAGGCATGTGCACGCGGCCCCGAATGTCGTGAGGGTGGGTGCACGCGCACTATTGGCTTTGCTGCATCCCCTTTGCAGAGGGGAAGCCGGGCTGGCCGGCTGGCAGCTGCATTGCCCTGTCCTCAGGTCTCCTGCACCCTGCCCTTTGCCCCTCCTACCCCTACGCCCCTTTTCAAATTTGAAAGTAAAAGAAAATCCATTGCTTTTTTAAAAAATTCATTCATTCAGCAATTTATTGAGCACCTGCTGTGTGCCCAGCATTGTTTTAGGAGCTGAGGACACAGCAATTAAACAAACCTCCCCGGTCTCAGGGCAGACCTGAATTTTATCTGGGCTTCCCAGCTGACAGTTCTCTGCCCACCAGGCTCTTCAAAGACCTGCCGCTTCCGGGTGGGGAATGAGGGGGGTTTCAGGGAAGGAGGGTGAACAGTGCAGTGAATTGTCATCATCACACCAGGTGACCTCTAACATGACATGCTCATCTCCTTACAGTGTGCCAGGTCCTACAAAACTTACAGGTGTTTCTCACCTGCAAGGATGGACCAGTTCGTATCTCACCATTTATCTGGGAGGGCTGAGGAGAATGCCGGGGCCTTAGAAAAGGGAGAAAGAGACAAATTTATTATCAAGCACCTACTAAGCACCAGTGTGTGTCAGGAGCTTTCCAGAAATTACCTCATTCGGTCCTTCTGACAACCTTCCAAGGTCTGGATTACCACTCCCTGCTTTACAGTTGGGGAAATTGAGGAGTAGACTGTCAGCCACTTGCCCCAGGTCACATAGGCCTCCATTTTGAAATCCCTGATTATCTGTGGTTCATGTGGCCCCTCCGACGTGTGTGACGTCTGGTAACTTGTACTGTTATCTGAAGATTACATTTTAACAGAATTTTTCAGGAGCATGCCTTACCTCCTCAGTTAGAATATTAGAATCTGTAGGGCTTGTTGAATGGCTGCGTGAATAAGTTTTCTCAAGTGACCAGGGAGGGCTTGCTGGAGGGGTTGGGAGCCTGGGAGAGGAGGCAGGGCAGGCGGTGGATCTTCCTGATCCTGCGCGGATCTGGACAAGCTGTAGGCAGGCAACCATCTCCACCCCCACGCCACCCCGCGTGCAGGTAGAGCCGATGGGAAATTACTGTTTTCATTCAGGGTCAGCGTGTCGGAGCTTGGTCCCTGGCCGGTCACTGGAGCTCTCAGCCTCCCTGGCCAAGTCTGGATGCTGTAGAAGCCCCAAGGCAAAGAATGGGGGTGGGAGGCTTTTGAGGCTGCGAGAACTACAGGGAAGGACAAGGACGATGGGTGGAGGCTGGATGGGGCAGGCAAGGGGGAGAGGGACCTAGGACCAGAAAGGGAGGAAGACAAGGGCGGAAGATAAACTGAGAAACAGGAAACAAGGCCAGAGGCATGGAAGAAGAGACGCAGCCGGACAGCAGTGTGTCGTGGGATGGCTAAGACAGGGTAAATAAGAAGGGTGCCTTCACCTTCTGCTTCCCTGAGGGCTGCGTCTCTCTGTCCTACAGTTCAGAGGCTGGAAGACTCACCAGATTAGCCTTGTGCAGGCACTTGCTTGCATGATCAGTCCCTCTTTTCTAAGCACCTACTGTGTGCTCAGCCTATGCTAGGTGGTAGGGAGCGAGACAAATCAGATGTTGCCCTGCTTTCCAGGAGTTTATAGTAAAAGTATAGATTCTGAGGCCTCACAGCTTGGGTTCAAACCCAGTGTCCACCATTTCTAGCTGGGTAACACTGCACAGGTCATCTTACCTCTCTGTGCCTCGGTTTCCTCATCTGTAGTGCGATACTAATAATGCCAACTTCATAGAATTACGACGGTTACATGAGTTGATACACGTGATGAGCTTAGCACAGTGCCTGGCATAGTCAATGTGATGTAAGCATTATTGTTGTTATTAAATGAGGAGTCAGTCTTAGGATAATGAAACAAGTGCTATAACACAGGGATGAGCAGATAAAGAAGAGACTGTCTCTGTCTGCAGATTAGGAAGTGGCTCTCAAAGGACGTGACATTTGGGGCAAGGCTTGAAAAGGAGTCAGCCAGGCAGAGAGGGTGGGCCTGGGCACCCTGGTGCCGAGGGCATCTGGGGCACAGATCGTGTACGGAAGCTGCCGTGTTATGTGTGTGCTGCCTCTGGTGGCTATCAGGAACACACGCACAGGTCCTGCCTTGGCCTCTTTGTTTCCAGTGCGCAGCGCTGAGCTTCCCGTGGGGCTGGAACAGAACGTCCCACACTCTCCAGCCTCGGAGAGTTGGCCTTTGGGCAGGGCCTGTGCGTCCCTGCTGGGACTGGTCTCCCGACGTGGCCTCTAAATGTTCCAAGCTGTCATCTGGCAGTGTCTGCTCCCAGCCCAGAGCGGCCCTAGGCCCTTGTCCTTGGCTTCTTGCACTTCCTGGGGACCTGGGAGGCACGTTGGCCTGAGGGGCTGCCTTTAGGAGGTGAGTTGAAGCAGGTTTGGTTTGGAATTCAGTTTCTTTCTGTGCATTTCTTCCACCCACACCTTTCTGCTGCTCAGCATTTGATGGACTCAGAGTGAGTTCCCAGATGAAGAGCAGGCAGAGGTGCCTCCTGGGGCCTCCGCCGCTCACATTGCAATGGCACCAGCATTTATTGAGCGCTTACTGTGTGCCAGGCACCGTGCCAAG